CCGTGACCCTCTTTACCGTTGCCCTTGTTGTCGCCGCCCTTCTCACCGCCACCGTGACCCTCTTTACCGTTGCCCTTGTTGTCGCCGCCCTTCTCACCGCCACCGTGTCCACCCTCCTTGCCCTTGCCCTTGTTATCGCTGCCCTTCTTGCTGTGGCCCTCGTTGTCGCCACCGTATCCACCCTCATTGCCCTTGCCCTTCTTGTATCCGCCCTTGTTGACGCCGCCCTTCCTGCCGTGACCCTTCTGATCACCACCCTTCTGATCACCACCCTTCTGATCACCACCCTTCTTGCCGTCGTGTTTGCCGTTACCGCCTTTCTTGTCACCGCCCTTCTTGCCATCTCCGCCTTTCTTGTCACCGCCCTTCTTGCCATCTCCTTTCTTGTCGCCACCTTTGTCGCCGCCATCCTTGTCATCGTCGCAGTCAGCTTCCTCGCCATGGTCTTCGCCACGAGCGACAAGGTCCATGCCAGAGTGATGCTCGAGGTTTCGGACCAACAGGGTGTTGCTCAAATTCTGCGCTCCCACGGCTGGAGCAGCATGAGCGCCGATGCCAAGGGCAAGGACAGTGATCGAGAGGAGAGAGTGCCACTTCATCTTTGTTTGCGATGAGGAGAGGAGGTGCTGGTGATCTGTGTGTCTTTGGTTGGGGCAGAAGATCGCTACGATGCAGTATCGGATTGGAAGCTTGGGTCGAACCCGAGATTGTAGCGCTGAGGAGACTTATTGGGTTGGATTTGTGGATGGTCGAGAAAGCCTCTTCGGAGGGGCCTTCTTATAGCTTCGAGCTGCTCTGGACGACTGAGGGTGAACCTGTGTGCCTCAAGTCTTGTGTTGGCCCACACACCTCAGCGATGCGGTTGATGATGAAACGCACCTCGCAGAATTGTAGGGTGGCATCCATCTTGACCTTTCCTGTGCTTGCAACACATTGGCTAATCCGCGTCCTTGACGCCTGAGAGCATGACTACGCCAGCAATTTGGTAGGTCTCTTGCTTGGGTGAGGTCGCATGACCGTTTGCGTGCCCGTGGAGCTCGAGACTAAGACTCTGAGCGTCGATGGCGACTACAGCCTTGCGAGCAGACTTTTGCTGAAGAGTGACCTTCGATCCTCTGGTCACGACCAGCTCGCAAGGGATCGCGACGACAAGGCGGACAACTACGCCTTGATGCCTTTGCTGCTGAGCTCCGGAGCGGGGCACGGCCGTCCCGGCGTAGTCGGGACGGCCGCACCTTGTCGCAGGCGTACGGTCGTCCCTCTGCAGTCACCCAGGCCAAAAAATTGCTCGCCGGAGAAGCCGAGGTCGTCTGCCATTTGCTCCGGACAGCAGAGCGACCTTGTAACCTCGGGCCGCCCGCACATGCTCTGCTGATCTCCCTGTATGATCCGCCGGTCACCGGAATAACGCCGTTCAAATTCTTCAGGACACGCCGAAGCTGCAAAACGGTCAATCACACCTGCAAACGGAATGACCGCAGCAGATCTGGCACATTCTTGTAACGAAAAGACTGTGATGGTAAAATGTGATTAAGACTGCAAGACTGCGACGTCTGTGATGCCTGCACAGCCCAACAAATATGGCGTGCGCCAAGTTCGTATGCTCAGCGCAGAACGAGCGCAATGGGCGTACGGTCCGGCGCTAGCCAGTTGCGTGTCGAAAAGAGGGTCTCGAGGCTAGGCTCGCGGTGGAAGTTGGGTCCGAAGCTGAGCACGCTGTCGAGGATGCCCTGCAAGGTGGCCAGGTTCGAGTCGAGCGCGTCCAGCGTGACAGGCGAGGCCGATCCGTGCTGGCTGATCTCTTGGAGAGCGTCGGGGACAAGAGCACAGAAGGAGATGTGCAGTGCAGATGCCAGATTGGTCGGCACCGGATGACGGCTGCTGTGAATCTGCAAGGCAGGCACGATCATGTCATCCTGCGGCAGCGAAATTTCTGCAAACGGAGAGCTGGCGCCCGCGTCGCTTCCTCGGTGGCTCGAGTATCCGGAGTTGCTCGGCGAAGAGTGGTCCGAATCCTGGCCATCGCGTGGTGGGGAGCCGCCATTCTTCAATGTACGCTCGACCTGGGCAGCAACCATGTGATGCTGCCTGGCGATGCGAAGTGCGTTTCTGCGGCGGAGCTGGTGACGCAGATCGCGCGACTTGTCCAGCTGCGTGCGCAGCATGCTCGAAGCTCGCGGCCACGAAGGGTCCTTGGGGCTCTGTAGCCATGGCAGTCCTTCGAGGAAGCTGCACAGCTCGAGAAAGAAGAGGGTGCCCATGCTGGTCTGGTCGATGAAATGCGATGACATCGACTGTGCCGACGCGGGCATCCGGCCGTAGAGATTCGCATCGACGTCGAGTGCGGGATGGAAAACCTGATGAATGAACAAAACCACGCTCCATGTGCGCTGGAAAGCTTCAACCAGTTGATTCGCCGTGGTACCCGGGTCGTCGAGTCTAGCACGAAAGTTGCCGTTGCGCTGCCAGAGCATGATCTGTGCGGCCGTTCCGCTCTGCGTCATAGTGAGGTACTCCTTGACTCGCATGGGATCACTGGGTGCTGCCGCCAATCTGGCCATAATGTTGGGCACCTGCTTGGAGACTTGCCATGCTCGTTCTGCCACGCGCGTCCACGTCTGTGGAACGTCGGAGGCCGCGTCCGGCGACGTCGTCGGCGCATGCGCCAGAATGTGCCCCGCATCGGTCGGCAAGAGGGGATCTGGTAATGAGGATGCATGCGGGATGGTCTGATCTTGCCATTGTCGATCCATGGATGCGAATTCGGAACCCAAATGAAGGGGCGACAGGAAGCCTGGCTCCAGTCTCAGCGTCGACGATTCGCCAAAGCCGAGGCCGTCCAAGGCCGCAGGCACATTCGGTGGCAACCCGTGGTCTCCGTTCCCGAACCGAACCGGTACGCCCGACACGGGCCCCAACGGGGCCGACTGAGACGGGAGGCTGGCAACGTTGAATCCAGTTGGATGTGCGGCGCTCATGTTGGGAGCTGGCATGACGGCCGAGAGCTGCAAGGCCTCGAGGTCGACCTTGTCGAAGCTGCTGCTTCGCGTGGTGGGAGGCATGCCGAAGCCGCTCGTGGTTGCCGCATCGCAGATGGCCGAATACCAGAGCAGAATTTCGGCCACGTCCTTGAGCGCACGAGCACGTTCGACACGCATGCGATAGGTCGGATCTGATCGGAGGTAGACGTTGTCCTCGATCCTGGCCCCGTCGGTGTTGTGATAGCCGATGGCGAAGAGCTCCTCGTCTTGCTGTCGCAAGAGATCAGTGGCGAGATTGTCCATCATGCGGAGGCCGGTCTGTAGAGTGAAAACGGCGTCCTGCACAACGTCCAGATTTGAGTTGCTGCTGCGCAAGGGTGGGCACGTGTTGCTGAACAGATGAAGCGCATACGCCATGCGGAAGGTGGTGACGGAGGAGTTGGCCATAAGGAAGTCGCGTGCGCGTCGCCAGGCAGCTTCTGCGATCTGGGTATCTTTCTGGCGGCGCATAGATTCGGTCTCGTCGTCGCGCCACTCGCCGGGCGTTTGTGAGCCGTATTGGCTCGCGTAGGCGACGATGGCATACTGCAGCGCCTGCATGGAGATCTCGTCTGCCTTTTTGGGAAGGGTGAAGCGACCGCTTGGACGGAAGGCCTCATCGCAGACAAAGGTGCTGTAGAAGAAGCTCGGGGAGATGTGGGACACGTTGTTGATGACCATCATGTCGTCCCACGCGCGTGCAGCGGAAGCACTCAGGAGTCCGCGTCGAGGATGAATGGCTGCGTCGAGGCTGACGCCGTTGGGTGTTGCGCCGGGCCCGAGGAAATGGTTCCACACCCATTCCCATGCGGCGACGTAGGTGAAGAGCTGCTTGGTCGAGATGTAGAGGCCGTCGATGTTGTCGCTGAGGCTCTTGGAAGTGGTGGAAAGTCCGAGTGAGACGTAGTTGTGTGATGAGAGCTGATCTTGGAGGGCAGTGTAGCTGGCGGAGGTCTGTGAGATGTGGCGAAGTTCCTGGCGGCTGGAGCTGACGGTCTGCTGCAGTGCGCTCCAGTGTGTGGTACACTGCAAGTTCTTGCGA